TAGACAAGTTCAAATGACACAGGTCAAAGTAGTATGCAGCTATTATAAATTTGTTTTAGAAAGATTAAGGGGAAATAGACATAAAATTAGGAGGCCAGGCAGGAGGCTATTTAGATAATTTTAAGACTCAAGTTAAAAGTAGCACTTGGTAGTTTTTTGACAGTAGACCTGGGAAAAAAACATATCAGATTAAAAGACTTTTCAAAAGAAGATTGTAACAGACTTAGTGGCTTATCGTGCAGGAAAGTTGGTTTATAAAGTTAAGTGAAAAGCCAGAGATATCTTCTGGTTTTAAGCTTTAGAGACTAGGAAGAATGATAGTGCCATTAATGGGTATAATGAAGTAAGGAGGGGAGTGGGATAGAGTAATAAGGGAGGAAGGGACCAGCAGAGGCGGTAAGGCATTGATGAATTTATATGATATATTGAATTTGAGGAGACTATAGGATATCAAAAGGAGAAATGGCAGGTAGGCAATGTAAGAAAGAGAACGAGAGAGAGATCTGGGAATGTTACATAGATTTGGGAACTTTATTCATGGAAAATAGATGAGTCTATGAGAGTAGATTGAGTTTCTGAAGGTCAGAGTAGAAGAGATAGTTGAAGATTGTGCACTGACCCACAAAACTATGTACTAGGAGGGAATAGGGCTGTAAAGATGGATTCAGTTTAGGGGTAATCCTTGGAGAGTGTAATAGTGTTGTGGAAGCAAAATGAAGGTCATTTGAAAAAAGTATTGCTATTAGTAAGTAGTTAGGGATCAAAGAGTTTGTGGACAAAGAAAAGGCCTTTAGATTCGACAGTTGTGAGTTAGTGGTGGACTTAGAACATTTTTGGCAATGAAGACAAAAGGACACAATTTTGTGCACTATAAAAAAATCCTTTCTCTTTCACTACCAGAATTGTCTCTCAATTTGAGCTTTATATGCCGAAAAAACTTAGTACTCCTAAAAAGAACAAAATGAAACATATTGTTTGAGAATTGTAAAAAAATTGAAAAGCAAAGAGGAAACAATTGGTATATTAATGCTTTATTTTGCTTTTGAAAGCTTCCCCCCCCACCCAAAATTTTTTAAGCTATTTTGGTGTTCTGGCTCTAAAATGTCAATTTTGACAGTTTGCTGTGGTTCTGAAAACAGCTTATTTTTGCCTATATTTTGTGCTTTTTGGGAACAAAATATTTATGTAGGATCTACATAGTTCATACATATTTATATATGTCATATATAAAAAGTATGTACTGGGTAATTTGAAATATATAATGCTGAGTATTTATTGACTAAGGTGAGTTACTATATAATTTGGGCCCTCACTATATCCTTTAAAAACTGCATTTAATTCAAAGTTTTATTTCTCTTTTATAGTTTCTTAAAAAACTTATTTAAAAATAAATACAGACAAGTAATAATTGTGGTCAAAAGATTTACATTTAATAATCCTTGAGGATTTAGAATTTAGATTATTTAAATTAGAAATAATCACACTTGGATGTGAATAAAAACTACAAGAACTTAAATTTCTATAATTTAGGAGAATTTTTATTAAAAAGTCTTTATTAAATTTGGAAGCATGCATACATGTATCTTAGGCTATTTAAACACTCAATAACTTGTTATCATGTTTAATTCATAAATTTTAATTCATTGAAAACCTGCACATAAGTATTAGACTCATACCATGTACAGGGGAATAAATTATTAAACTTTAACTTGATGTCACAAATACGTTTATTCTTATTACATTCCGATAAGATCCTTTTAAAATGATTAGTTTTCACATTGTTTTGTTAAAATATATAAAATTTATATAGTATAGATAAGTTAAAAAATATATGTTAAGGTATAGTGATACCTGATATTAAAGTCAATATGACTTAGTAATCATGATCTGCTGCATTTGTTTAAGACAGTGAACCTATTTCAATACAGTATTTATCCTGCTTCATTTGGCTTCATACATAAAGCATACTGAACATTTACTTCAAATTATTTTGTAGCAAAATGAAACATCAGTTTAAAATTCATATAGATTTTTACATGTATTATGAACTAACTGAAGTTTAGTTTTGAAATTAATATTACAGCATTTAAGAACTGTACAGTTATCAGTCCTTTAGATTGGTTTAGAATTTTAGCAAGAAAACTAGTTTTTTAAACTGAGGAAGTTGTGAAATTAGCCCACATGATGACTTTTAAAATAAAAGTCTCTTTGTAAGTTATTTATTTAAAAAAGTTATTTAAAAATTCACCCCTTGGTTAAAATTTAGATTGTGACCATCTAATTAATTTTCGTATCACAAAATATATGAATAAATGATATAAGAATTTTGATAAAGGTAAATGATGCTCTTTTAGGAAATGTGACAGTATGTTTAATCTTAAATTGACAGTGGTTTTAAAATAAAGAATTTATTTCTAAAGACTCTTTTAGGGATTTAATATCAGGTTATTAAACAACAGTAACTTGGGATGATTTTAATGTTTAATTTATTGGCTTTTTAATTTGCCTCAGTTCAGATCTTTCTGAATCTGTAGGATGGATCAACATTTTGGTTGATTTGCTAGAGTATAACTTTCCATTTTGAGACTTCCAAGATATTCCTCTTCTCTCTGGCTTAGTTTTTGATCTTGGCTTGTTATATTTACTGTTTAGGTTGTTTTCTCCACATACATCGTGCCACCACCAGCCTCCTAAAGAAGATAGATATGCAATTTAATGGATACAAACTCATATGTAGTTACCATTATTATATTTCTATACTATATACCATGAGTATATCCTTATTTCTTATAAATATGACTGTTGTATACATGTATCTTAATTTTAAATACTTTGTACGAGTCTTATATACCCCACTAAAAATAAAATACCTGAGAAAGGTTAGAAGAAAAATATCTGGTTGAATTAGAATCAAATTAACAGTTATGTTAAGAGATTTTTATCTATAGAGAAATGTTTATTTAGGATTCAGATTTTAAAGAGTTGACATTGTAGATATTAGCTAATATTTTGGTTAGATAGTTTGAAGATAGGAAAACAAACTATTGATATTAGGGAAAGGATACCTGAAAAACTTTCTGGACAGTTGAAGTGTCCTTTGGATTTGTGATCCCAAGTAGAAAACACCAAATCTTTGTGTTCCGGGAGTACTTTGGGGATGTTGCCGGTAATCTCAACTAGATGTAGCGTGTAGTTGGTTTCATGATTTCCCAAGTGAAAAGAATAATCAATATAATGCTTGCTGTCTTTCCAGTCTTCTAGCTCAATTCGTAAAATGTAATTAGATTGCTTTACTATGGAGTATATCTTCTCTAGACCCAACCAAAATTCTCCTGAAAAGGTAAATTGTACAAATCTGTGGATTGTTCACTGCAGATTAGGCACTGACAGTTTTTTTGACAGTTTTTTCTTAAAGTAAGTGAGTTGTTTTAGTCTCAAATCTCTTATTTTAGAGTCTCTTAAAATATTTCTTTTTAAAATAATTTTATTGGCAATAGTTACACGTACAAAAAATGTTAAAAATATTAATAGGCCTGCCTAAATCTGATTATCTTTTCTAAAATGGATATTATGAAACATTTCACAGGTGAAACATATTAGGATATAACAGATATTTTTAGGTTTGGTAATTGGTAAAATACTATCTCACTTAAGAATGTTTTAAATTAAAAAGTATAATTTTAAATAACTTTTCTCTATAATTTTAAAAATAATTTTTATTTGGAATTAAAACATAACATAAACACATAGATCTTTTTTAAAGTAAGAAAAAATCAAAATTTTTTTATTGGTTTTTGAATTAGTAGGGGACTTTATTTTAAAGATTGCAAATACCAATGGTTTCCTTTTTTTTTCTTTTTATCTTAAATACAGTTTAATGGGAAGGCTGACAAAACAGGGAAAACACTAAGATTACCACCAACAGTGTTCAATCAATAGATTTTCATTTCGCTCATTAGTGGAAACCAGGAAGCAAAGAAAAATTTTCAACACCAAGTATATAAATAACCATCACCAATGGGGGAAAAATTGCATACTTGGGAAATAAAAATTTGGTACCAAAACTGATTTCCTATTTGCTTCCAATGGGTCATTATAAAAAATTCTAAATTTAAAGATATAAACAGAGCCACATATTGGGCACTGATTCATGCGTAGACTTTCGAAAGCATAATAAATGGCTTACTTTCTTACAGTAACAAATGAGTACTGTGGACTTAAGTGTCAGCCTTTTATTTTGGGGTTATACTCACTCCAGAAGAAGATTTGGAGCTACAAAACATATCACTGAATATAAACCTTTTAGTTAGGGATTTAATTGGTAGTTTGAATACAAAAATTTTTGAATGGTCAAATAGTACTGAGTGTTTAAAAATTTGATATAATAATGGAAGTTTTCCACTTTACAAATGAGTACTCGTACATCATTCATGGATTTTTATGATATGCTTTTTTAGATTTTAAACCTCTTATTTATTTTTATTTTGCTTACTTTATTTTTTATCTTGTTTAATTTGTCATCAAAATATAGTAATTTGCATTGAGTTGACTTTTAAAACACGTTTTATAGTATACATTTATAATATTAAAATCATTGAAATCTCAACATTTTATACTGTACATCTGACACCTTCGTCTCTTACAACCTCCAAATAATTGATATCTAAAATTTAATAAGTAGAATGACCATTGATAAGAATGATTTTCTTCATAGCTCGTTCATAGCATTTACCATCTATAAATGCTATGAACAAAGCAAATAGCACTTAATCAAAATTGTTTTTGATAATTATGTAATTAGAAGCCATCAAATTGTGGTAAGTATACTTAAGAATAGACAAGTAACTGTGAATCGTATAATTTAAATAAAGACACTGTAATAAGTATAATTACTAACAAATAGATAATTATTTTTAAATAAGTTCTGTGAAGACCAGGACTGTTCCTCATTCATTGTTGCATTCCTAATGCCCAATCCATAATAGATTTTCAATAAATATTTTTAACAAGTGAATTAATAAATGAATGAAGTCACCATACCATCAAGATTCCCAAAACCATATTTGTAGTTTTCCCAAGTTTCATTGAAGTCTTGTGATCCATCTGTTCGGTGCTGAATTAATGTCCATGAATTACCTGAGTATAATGAACGAAAGTGTGCATTTTTAGTAGATTCATGCTAACAGACATAACAAAATACCATTATTTGGTTTGGTTATAATTGATGGCTGTGTAAGGTAGTTATTAATGTTGTTATGGTAGTGACATTTTATTATTTATTATCGTCCCAAGAAGTTAAGTGAAGGGCAACTAATGAATTTGTCTTAATAAACTTATTGATAATAGTCTTTTCAGATTGTTCTATGGAAAAAGATGGAGAATATTGAATAAATGCATGGGTAAATACATGAAAAAGCAAGACAAATATAAGTACTAGATCTATATAACTATTCATGTTATATATATTTCATTATATATTCAGAACAAACATAACAGAATTAGTCTTACTAATAAGCAGTGAGTGAGTAACCTGAATTAACTACTGTCCATTTTCTCTGTAGGCTAGTTTTACCTGGTTTAACATCACAGTAGACATTAAAAACTTGGGAGTTGCTGGGTCTAATGGAATAGATGCCACTTGTTTGTTTGCCTTGGTTATAAATGGTGGTAATCAGCAGGA